TGATAATGAATTCTGGCAACACTGCTCTCATCATTGTAAAAATTTGTCTATTTCTAATGGAAATAGATTTAGCGGAGGAGATACGCAAACAATAGTAACTTATGTAATGAAGCGGGAAATCTGACATGATAAATAGGCCAACAATATAGATCAAATTTGATGATGCTGCCGCGTATGAACCACTTCAGCTTCAGATTTCGCACTGATGGAGCGAGCAATCCATGAAAAATCTGAAGTATACAGGGTGTCCGGAAAGGTCATGTCGTAAATGATATAGGGCTGATACAGTAAGTCAAAATACTGTTGGTTCTTTATATAAAAAAATGTCTATTGCTCTTCGTTAGAAGCTTGAAAGTTAGAATGAAAAAAATGAACCTCATGTATAACTTTCGTTGCCATGGTATCATTGATATTCGGGTAGGTAAATGAACTCATACTAATGCTTCTTTCGTTTACTTTTCAGTGAATATGTTTTATACAGGATGGTACGAAGTTTTTTCAGTTTGATGAAGGCCTTTTTGACACAGGTGACAAATTTCACATTTCGCTTCCACCGTTTGATTCTTTAATTTTTCATCACCAAAAATGGTATGCCTTATTCAAATCGATATCTTGTACCGTTCTAGAGGAAATCGCATTTCAAAACATATACATTCCAACTGTTTCAGAGATAATAAAAGGTCCATTTACCTAGTTGATGACATCAGTGGAGACAGAACGATTATTGTGAATGATATTCAATATGAGCAATTTGAGTATCAACGCATTTTCTGAAAACCTGCGTTGTACTCGGGCTCCTCCTTAATCCTCCTTAATATCTACAGGTGCTTTATAGACTTAGACATTTGGGATAGCTCCAAAGAAATGAATCGAGTAGATTAAGAACAGGTGACCGAGGTGGCCATGAAAATGGACCATGGGGTGTTAAATGATCTCTTACAGCTTTGTCGAAATGAGGAAACGCACCATCGTGAAAAATATGGAAAAGGGTAGTTCCTTATAGTTGAATAAATAATAAATTTGAATTGGAAAGGAATATTCTCAGATATATTTATGAACACAAAAAATGGAAATGGAATCTTCTGAAGTAGAGAATTTGCATTCTCCTTCATATAAAGATATGCATATCATATCATTCTGAATATTCAACAGAAGACTACTCTCCTGGCTATTTGCCACGTTTAACATTGAATTGTTTTCTGTTGAATATTCAGAATCATATTATATGCATATCTTTATATAGGAGAGAATGCAAATTCTCTACTTCAGAAAATTTTGTTTTCAGATTCTTATCGTATGTGTGTTCAATAGATGTAATTCAATATTCGTCGTGGCATATATAGCCAGGAAAGTAGTTCACTACACTGTTTTACCACTAACCAAACCGATTTTTTAACGCCTCGACACGTGTTTCGCTAACTATGTTAGCATCTTCAGGAGAAGATTGAAACTGTTTTAATCTTCTCCTGAAGATGCTAACATAGTTAGCGAAACACGTGTCGAGGCGTTAAAAAATCGGTTTGGTTAGTGGTAAAACAGTGTAGTGTATTATCGTGCCAAAGGTTCCAGTCTTCGATATAGGAAAGTAGTTGTTTTCTGTTGAATAAACCGAGGAAGAATTAATATTTTCATCACATGGAGAACGCGAATTCTCAATGTATTTCTTTATATACTTATATATGTATATAATTTTTTTTGTGTTCATAAATATATCTGAGAAAATTTCTTTTCGATACTTTCACCCAATCAAGGGGTTCAAACTTGTTACTTTTATAGACCTCAATCGCAGATTCCTGATTAGGTTTTCTCTATTCAGAATTTCTTTTCACGTCCTGTATGCTGGATATCAATTTATCATACATCCAATAAAAAAAAAGAAAAAAATCTGAACTTCATATTATTATTCTAATTTGTTCAACCGAGCCAGTATCTGGAAATACATGTACCAACTGGAAATCGATGAAATTGGACCATATAGGTATACCTATGTATTTTTTACGGCTTTGTGGACATGGTCCCATCAGCCAGAGGCATTATTGTATCATCATAAGTTTCATAATGTTTATTTATGGTTTGGAGAAGGAAATACATGGGGCACTCGCTTCTCGCCTAGGGACCCATCAAGGCATTTTCGATTATACCTATATATACAATTATGGAATTGAACTTTTGGCTGCCGTCTCGCATTTCGAGGGCTACTGGGTGAATGTTGAAGGAGCGAACATCATAAAATTATCCACAGGACAGAGTCCGATACCGTTTATCATGTCGAAATTCACGCTATAAGCGCTATAAGAAAAGGAAATGGCTAGTCGACCGGTAATGGCTGACTATTGGAAACCGGAAAAAAACGTGAATGATGAGGTTTTCAATTTATGATTCTAATAATGTTTATCGTTTATCGGATTTCACAGTTCCCAGTTCCCTGTACGTTCACTTTTACTTTAACGAACCTGATGGAGAGAAGAAACCCGGTGAGAATACTTAGTGACACTTTGTGAAAGAGAGATGAGATGGAATGTTACCTGTATGTATATTGAAAAGTGATAAAATATTGATTGTTTTTGAATGTTAAATTTTGCTCTTGTAGGTAGGTATTACTTTTTCTGCCGCTCTACATAATGCATTGAGAATTTTGATTAATAGGCTCGCTATACTTGAAATACTCTCACCAACTGACTATTCATTATGTCCATGAAGTAACTCCTAATTTTACCTATACATGAAAACGAGTTAATAGACGTATGTAGGATTATAATCAACAAAATTAAATATAAATAACATTGAACTTAAATTCTCAGCAAGTAAATGGTATATTCTGAAAGTTTTTTTTTTGGTGAAATTAGAAATAGGTACAGTGTCATAGTTTTACTTTACATGTCACATCACTTTCCTACACTTTACACAATTTCACTACACATGTCACATCACTTTCCTAAACTTTACACTTTAATGATAATCACAATATGATTCACAACCACACCACTTATTAGTTTTCTTAACTGTTATATACAAATACTAGATGACTTATCACTAGTCACCATCGAACTCTTCATGACTTGGATCTTCATTTACCCTAATGATCACTGGATTGATGCGTGGTAAGATACAATATTCATTTTCTTTTTTGATTACATGAAATACACAATTCCTCCAGATGTCAGTCTCGTTTATCACATTCACTACTGTCCTGATGGTGGTTAAAACTTACTCGCTAAATTGCGAAGATTGGTTATTTGTATCGTACTTTGCTTTTAATAGCAGCCCAGACCATCTCAATGGGGTTGAAAACACAGTAATATGGTGGCAAATGTAAGATAGTATGGCCGTGTGCTCCATAAAGAGTTCATCAACTACATATTCCTTCGGTAAATTTTCCTAATCATTTCCAGTAATTCTTTCTTCAGTTATTTAGGAGATATTCCCATGCCTTTTCTCTCCATACATTGAATAATATCAGCCTTTTTGGTGTTGGTGCTCGGTATTTTCATTTGTTGACCTGAATGGTATGACGCATTATCCATAACGATGACTGGATTCCCTTGAATATTCGGTATAAGCTGCTGCTCTGCCCATTTCTCAAATAATTCTGGACCACTCACATTACAGTTTTTGATATCATCTATACCCAAACGTATTCCATAATCACCCTCCTTTTGTCTATTTTTTTATGGCTGAACCCGCAATCCAACATTTCACAACGTACTTAACGATTTGTAACGAGGTAATGCAATTGCAAAAAAAAATGAAAAATTATAATCCGCGTATCCATTCAACAAATCCCTGATATCTGACAATGTTTTGGCACCTTATTCTCATTATAAAATCTATATACAATTTGACGAATTACTTCTTTCGAAGCATCATCAAGCTTCTTGAGTTTTTGTCCCACTCTTTTTCGTTCAACTTCATGATCTACAACATCTCCGGTTCTAATAACTCTGTATATGGTGGTATAGCATATTTCAGTTAATTCCTGTATTCTCTTCACAAGTTGGTCTTCTAAAGAATCCTTATTCTCGTCGTTGAGACGCGAATAGATATTAGAGAGTTGAAGTAATCACTGTACGTAGACCTCCACGTAAACGTTAAAGTACGAAAAATAACGTTTACGTATTGTCTTCAAATTGAGTTGAAGTCGTCACTGTCATCGTAACGTTATAACAAATTATGTTATCGGTTTGTATTGGTCAGTTTTGGTTGTTTGTTTAGATCAAAACATTTATTCGTGTTAAAATGGAAGGTTGCCCTGATGCAGAACTCCTTAAGGATCCAGAATTTGATGATTTTGACTCATCGGCATATTTCGAGTTTCGTTCGGTTAACGTACGTTGATATTTAAGGTATACGTGAAAGTACGTGAGATAACGTACACCCGTAAGCCCACTACCAACGCGAACGTGAAGAATTGAAAAATGCGCATGCGTAGCTGTCAATTTCTACGTTAACGTTAACGTTCGTGGCAACACTTCAACTCTCTATTCAAAATTACCCTTTGCGTTTGAACGTGTAAGTCTTTATTGGCGAACTCCGCTTGCTCTTTCTTCGAATCACTATAACTCACTTCGTTTACTACCTCAAAAGGCCTCCAGAACACAAAACCACTATGATTGAAAAAATAAATTTTCTGAATTTCGAGTTGAACTAATGAAGACAACCTAGCTCGTACCGCACTGCCTAGCGCAGGCTAGAAGATTCTTATCAAACAGAAGGCCGCCAATGCAACTCTTATCAATCAACATCTAGTATAGTTTGGAGTAACCAATGAGACGCGGTTTCTAGCCTGACATCGCTTGTCCAGTCCACGTTGACTGCACAGGCTGCATACCGGGAAAGCTCAGTAGAAAATATCTCATTCATTCCCATTACAATGTTAATCAAATCGCCAAATCCTCGTATCGTCCTTTGAAACGGAAGTTTTTCAACTGACTTCGCATAAACTATAATAACAATAAGAACTTGCTCACCGAAGCCGATGGACGACTCCGACTCGCCAGGACACGACATGGCGGCATGGGCGGAATGGTCGTGCGTCCTCGCCGCGTCCTGCATCGCTGTGATCTTCGACGCCAGATGGCGGTTGCCCATTCGCATGTTCCTCTCCCTGAGCACCTCGAGCTGCGTGTAGACGCGCTGGAACTCCTCCTGGACGTCCTGCTCGCTGTACCTGGCCACGCCGTCATGCCCGGCCGACGAGTTCGTGCTGTATTGCGGGTTGTCCGATCTGGACTTGCTCATGAATTTTGACGAGGGGGCCTTCGATACCATCGAGCTCTCGTCGGTGCGGCCCTTGTTCTTGAATACCATGAATACCTGAGCGGGGACATTAGGGGTGTAGTTATAGAGGGCGTACGGGAGAAGGGGGTCGGTCCGTTGACCATTTTCAATTCGATTAAGAATGGGTTGGATTTTATCATGCAATTTTTCATTTGGCACTCCCATTGAGAAAGAATATTCTCAGATATATTTAAGAACACAAAAAAATGGATATATATAAAAAGAAATACATTGAGAATTGATGGGAAACAGCGATTATAGATATTATATAAAATATCAACAATTAATCACAGAATATCCGATGATCAGTTATCATAATATACCTGAACAATTAACTGTGGATATTACAATGTCGACACATCAAAGGAAAAGGGAGTTTAGCAATTACCCTTTTGTTTCTCATTTTCATCGATACAGTGTTGCCACTTATATCAGAAACAACTAGCAACTTTGTTATTTCAAATGGAGCATTTTTTGATTCTTCCTGAAGAGCTGATTTCATCAATGCATCACACTCGGGATCTAGCAGGAATGATTACAGAGCTATATGGTGTTCAAAATCGAGATTTTTCAATTTTAGGATTTGTTTGTGTCGAATCTATTTATTATCGATCAAAACGGCTTACATGTCCCTATCTTGAGTTTTGATTCACTATCTACTGGAATTTAATTGAAAAAAATAGAGGGTGCTTCAAGATTCAGAATTCTGATCACCTGTCAGTAGATAGGGAATCGAAAGTTGAGATGGGGACATGCAAGCCGTTTCGATCGATAATGAATAGTTTCGACACAAAAAAATCCTAAAATTGAAAAATCTTGATTTTGATCACCTTATATCTCTGTAATCATTCCTGCTAGATCCCAAGTGTGATACATTGATGAAATCAGCTCTTCAGGAAGAATCTAAAAATGCAATGAAATAAAGGGTGCTCCAGTTGAAATAACGAAGTTGCTAGTTGTTTCTGATAGTGGTGGCAACACTGTATCGATGGAAATATTCTAGACGGATAGAGAATGTTCAATTACCAAAGCATCCCAATTTTCAGAATGTTCTGTTTTTTCGTTCTCCAGATACTTCTACTAGGCCATCCACCGTGGATCACCCTGTATATAAAGAACGATGTAAATTTGCTTCTACAGACCTCTTCAATCACAGATTCGTGAATGAGTTTTCCCAATACAGAAAATTTTCCACGCCCTGTATGATGAACATCAATTCATCGTACAACTGAAAAACATTGTTGATAACGGTAGAGGAACAACTACTTTCCTGATTACATGCCACTCAGAACATTGAATAGTATCCTCCCGAAATCTATGCAATATTTCGTAAAGCGATTGCTGATTGCAAGTGTTCAATACCAAGACAATAACGATCAGTATTCGTTTAACGAATCATTGCATAAATCTCGGAAGAATATAATTCAATGTCCTCTGCGTGGCATTACCAGGGAAGTAGATGTTTTTCATTCGTTCTACCATTTTCGATGATTCCATCAACATTTTGTGGGAACGGATCAGAGTTTTCCCCTAAATTCTCCAAATATCCGACGTTTCTTCCGATGTCAACATCGAATTTGAAGAAAAATTTTTTTATGGTAATTATTTGTCTAATTTTGTAGATTATATCTCAAGTTCTGACCTGGATTTCCTCCTAAACTATTCAATAATGTTCAAGTAGACTATCACTCGTGGAATGAGTGCAAAAAATGTGAATGACTATATGGTTGATGAACTACGGAGAAGAAATAAACTTTTTTTTTTGTTTTTTGAATTGACTCGACCGTTCCTAGATGGAAATCCATGGCAAATGTAGAGATGAAAATTGTGTATATCATGAAGAATGACTGAAAGAATAACTGGACTTCAGGTTACTGATGAGGATATGAAATCCGAAATGAGTTTTACTCGAGTTCAGTCATATAACCTATTTGTGAAAGATATAATTCCCATATCACTGATACGAATGATTTTTTTTTGAAGTTCCAAGCTCATCAAGATCAGACTTCATAAAAGTGTACTTCTCCTATACATTTCAATTTTCATTTCAATACTGAACATGCTTTTGGGTGTATGATAAATTGACATTCATCATACAGGACGTGGAAAGAAATTCTGAATTGAGACTCTATCACGAATCTGCGATTAGAAGTCTATAAAAATCACAAGTTTCCATCGTTCAAGTTTGAACCTCCTGATTGGGTATGAAAGTGTTGAAAAGGAACATTCTCAGACAAATCACGAACATACAAAAATGGATATATATTTATATAAAGCGATACATTGAGAATTCGCATTCTCTATGTGATGAGAATATTTACTCTTTCTCAGTTGATTCAATAGAAAACAACTACTTTCCTGGCTATATGCCACGACGAACATTGAATTATATCTATTGAACACACACGATAAGAGTTTGAAAATAAAATATAAAAACTTCTGAAATTGAGAATTTGCATTCTCCTTCAGATAAAAATATGTATATGCACATATCATTCTGAATATTCAACAGAAAACAACTACTTTCCTGGCTATTTGCCTCGTCGAACATTGAATTATATCTGATGAACATTCAGAAATCCGAAATGGTTTCATTGCAATAAAGTCATATAACCTGTGTGTGAGAGATAATATTTCCCATATCACTGATATGAATGATTATTTTTGGAAGTTTTCAAGCTCATCAAGATCAGAGTTTATGCCAGTATACTTCTCCTATACATTCCAATTTTCATTTCAATGCTGAATATATTGGTAAGTTATATTTCTATATCATTATACATCATATTATTCATCCGATTTGAAGGAGAATGTCAATTCTCAATTTCGGAGGATTTTATTCTTCATTTTTCATGTTCTCCTTTTGAATGTTCATCAGATATAATTCAATGTTCGACGAGGCAAATAGCCAGGAAAGTAGTTGTTTTCTGTTGAATATTCAGAATGATATGTGCATATACATATTTTTATCTGAAGGAGAATGCAAATTCTCAATTTCAGAAGTTTTTATATTTTATTTTCAAACTCTTATCGTGTGTGTTCAATAGATATAATTCAATGTTCGTCGTGGCATATAGCCAGGAAAGTAGTTGTTTTCTATTGAATCAACTGAGAAAGAGTAAATATTCTCATCACATAGAGAATGCGAGTTCTCAATGTATCGCTTTATATAAATATATTATATCCATTTTTGTATGTTCGTGATTTGTCTGAGAATGTTCCTTTTCAATACTGAACATATTGGTAAATTATATTTTTATATCATAATACATCATATTATTTTATTTCAGAGGACTTTGATTTTTCATGCTCTCTTTTTGGATATTAAACAGATATTATTCAATGTTCGACGTGGCAAATAGCCAGGAAAGTAGTTGTTTTCTGTTGAATATTCAGAATGATATTATATGCATATCTTTATATGAAGGAGAATGCAAATTCTCTACTCCAGAAGATTTTGTTTTCAAATTCTTATCGTGTGTGTTCAATAGATGTGATTCAATATTCATCGTGGCATATAGCCAGGAAGGTAGTTGTTTTCTGTTGAATAAACCGAGAAAGAATTAATATTTTCATCACATGGAGAATGCGAATTCTCAATGTTTTTCTTTATTTATATATCCATTTTTTCGTGTTCATAAATATATCTGACAATATTCCTTTTCATGAAAGAATAATATTAGATACTCTAGTGATAAAACCGACCGATCCTATTCGGATTACCTTATACATTTCTGTATTGGACTGTGGGTGCATTGCACCCATACCCTACGCTTACATGGGTGCATTGGCCCCGATACCCCCATGTACTTGCCGCCCCTGATACCACACTAAGCAAGAGTATTTAGTTAAAAATACTCATAAGTCAGCTTACGAAGACAAGATAATAACGTGGTGAATTAATAGCATTGTATATGTTAATAGTATTATTCAGGAAAATCCGAAGACCAAGATATGAAGGAGAACGGAGAATTACTGGGTGCAGCAAACATTGTTATACGTTACATAAACAAAGTAACTCTTGCTATTGTCGCTCATAATGTGGGTTACATTATAAAATGTCCCCAAACGAGCATCAGGAAATGACGATAGTAAAAGAGGGATTCATGAATAAAGGTAGTTGTCCCGAAAATGTAGGCAGTATCGATTACAGACATTCATTGCAATTCAAGCTCCACCATTTCATTTTAACTCCAGAAATACAATAAGAACATCTTTTAGAATATCGCGCCTATGCCTCTCCTACCTATATGGCCCTGCAAAAATGGGAATCCAAGATTCGTTGGTATCAGAACATGTAGTCAGAGCATATGTATAATTATTGTATAACTCCTCCAATAATTACCCTATCGGAGTTCTCACCATGCATTGGTTTTCCATATCGAAAATCGTAATTATCTCAGAGAAATTTAATCATTATTCAGTACTGGCTCTCGGACGTCAATTATTTTTCGGCTTTTACTACCACCAGAAACGCTATTCAGATGATGAAATATGGTTTTCTCTTCCACCTAACGTCTTTTTTGATGCAAAATAGTTACTCAGTCTGTGATTTCATCTCCATTTTTTAAGTTTGCTGCAGGGAATTGATAATGGATCGCTGTATAGCAGCGTTCGAAGTTTGACTAAAATGAATTGTATAAGCGAGAGTGAGATAAAATAAGTCATCCGTATTTTCGATCAGGTTACTTGTCAACATTTTTCGATTTTAGGAAAGCGAAATAAAACATTCAGTTCCAGAAAAAAAGGAATGAATAGTGAAGAAAGTGTGTCTCGATCCTTTCCTATATTCAACATGCAGATGATGATTTTGATTCATTTTTATACAATACATACAACATACATCTAAATTGTTGAACACCAAACTTCAGCAACATTTTAGATGTCTCACACTGGTTTTGCCAGCGAATGCTTCATTTACATGTTGAACTATAGTTTAGTTGGTGAGGTGCCTGAATTCTCATTATATTTCAGCTGTTCTCCATGCAATTCTTCAACAATCCCGCTGTTTTTATTTGATTTTTCTTACA